ACATTCAGATTGGAAGTTGTCCATACCCTTGGCATTTTGAAAACATTTCAAAGGCATTCTTAGAGTATTTTTGGATGGTGGACAAATTGGAGGTATTCTTGGTGTGTTTTTGAAAGTGTTTTAGAGGGGTTTTGGTAGGGTGTGTATGTCGGTCTTTGATAGGGGCAGGGAATGGGCTACTAGAGCTCGGTTTGGGTATAAGGTCTTGATATTGGTTTTGTTTTGGTCAGTGAATGCTTCAAACTTGTACTCACTTACTTAGTTGGCTAATCTCTTAATTCAAATAACGAGATTCATAAGGTAGGAAGCTAACCAGCTGGGTGTCGAATCGCAAAATCCTTGGAGAAAACGCCCCCAATGATCAAGCTCCGGGTCTCCATCGAACCTCACACTTCAATAAGATTCCTCAAATTCCATGGGTATTGTTCCACGGTTTTAGTATCTTGTTTGAGGCTCAACATTTTTCAATCATTGCTATCTATAATGGGTGACAAAAGAACACTGCACTCCATCCTTCTTTCATCCTATCCATTGTAAATTTGAGCCTCCCTCCCCTCATCCTTCGTTTTTGCAAATTATCCCACCAAAGGACAGTCATATCCCTTTCAAACTTCATAGCAACAAAAGGCTTCATTCTTTGTCTTCGGACACCTCCCTCAGTTCAAAGATCTTCTCCATTGAGTATATCCATTCAAAGATAGGCATTCACATCGATTTCTTACCATGAAATATCAGGGTTAATCGATTTATAGGTTGAAGATTCTTCTTGTCTTTCAAACACGAATTTGGGGTGTGGGCAAAACGCCTGCCCCTTGGCCCAAATCCTTCCATGTAACAATCCTCTCCCTCTCCCTCTCAAAACCTCCACGGTTCCCAAACACAAGAGTGTTGGTCTCTCCATTGAAATCTTTCATTATCTAGTTCCTCTCATGAGCGACTTCGGGTATTTGGCGGGAGTATTTTGGAGAGTGTTTCTAAACTTATTCTGGCCTTAAGAACCTTCCCATTTTCCCAACCTTCATTTTCTTAATTATTACCTACCAAATTAGAAGTGGGGGACACAAAAGCATTGTTGAACAACATAATCATTACCCACCTAAATTGAATTGGGAGACACAAACCATCCACTTATACCTTGTTAAGGCCTTCCCCTACCTAAATTGGGTCACTTGCTATAGGAACTTGCTACAGGAACTCAGAAGCATTTTTGCTACAGGACTTGCTACAGGAACTTGCTACAGGAACTCAGAAGCATTCGTGCTACAGTACCTTTAAAAAAAAAAAAAAATTTTTTTTGGGTTTTCTTTATTTGCTTGCATTGTTTGGGTAGAAGTAAATTAGGTCCATATTTGGTTTGCTTGTAGTGAACTAAATTCATACATTATATCCAGAATTCGTCTTTTAAACCTTTATATTAGGGAAACAAGAGAATACCATAAACTCCCCTTTGAATGTGTTGTTCAAAAGACACAATTTACAAAATTTCAAAGGACACCTAACTAGGTTGAAAACAACACATTCAAAGATACACCTAACTAGGTTGAAAACAACTTATTCAAAGGACACCTAACTAAGTCTGAAAAAACTCATTCAAAGGCACAATTCAAAAGACACCTAATTAAGTTTGAAAAAACTCATTCAAAGGCACAATTCAAAGAACACCTAACTAAGTTTGAAAACAACACAAATGAGCTGAAATTCATAGTCAATGATCAACCAAGTGCTCCTTGATTGTTGTCTTCAAAGATGATGGTTTGAAGGAACCCAAATGGCCCTAAAAGGAGCTGTTTGTAGAGGAGCTGTAGCTTCAGATTGAACATGTCACTCCCACCAAGCCCATCTTCACTTGGACTGTCTTCATCAACTTCACTAATGGAATCAAGACCAAGGCCCACGTCTAGGACAGCTTGTAAGGCTAGGCTAGATGGACCTTCATCAAGTAAGAATTAAAAGAGGAGAGTGATCGGACTTACTTGAGACTAAATTCTGAACCTGATAATTAGGAAAGTGAGTCTGCCAAAAGACATTTCCCAAAGCTCTGTCCAATCTTTCCTCCACCTGATGTTGACCACGACCGTGAGCCCAAGTAAAAGGGTACCCCGACATGCCCAAATTAACCATATCACAGTCAGCCACAGTGTCCCAAAAACCCTGTAATAAATATGGAGGATGAGGAAGACGCCCTTTCTTTTCTTCAGCGTACATTAGATCATTAAAATCTCCACAAATTAGCCAGGGGAGATTTTCCAAACGAGCTAAGGAGCGAAGAACATTCCATGAAGCTTGTCTACGGTATCTTTCCGGCATTCCATAAAATCCAGTGAGGAGCCAAATAAAACCTTCAGTTTCAACAATTTTCATATCAATAAAATTTGGAGAATAACGTAGAACTTCTAAGTTAATAGGAGAATTCCACAAAATGGCTAAACCACCACTGTGTCCCATGGCATCCACAGTAAAACAACAATCATAATGAAGTCTGCAGCGGAGCTGTTCTATTTTGTTCAAAGCAAATAAAGTTT